ATTCTCTCCCCCATCCCACCGGGGCAGGGCAGAGGGTGAGGGAGCAGCTGTGTGGCACTTGGTTGCCAACTGCGGTTAAACCACGACAACATCACAGACATTTTACACACCACATATTTCAGCATCCTCTCTTTTCTGCTAGCTTTGCATTCAAAATAAGATGTGTCTCACTGAGTAAGGTCCTCACGAGTAAAACAAAGCCAGTTTCATAGTGCTAGAGGCTACTACTACTAGCACCTGCTCTGGTTGTTCCAGTGAAAATGGAGAAAACACCTCCATCCCAGCCCCACAACGCAAACAACGAGGCTTGGCTGCTGCCCTCTGAGGACAAGAGTCCTTTGCAGGACAGCCTCACAGTAATGTCAGCAGTTCTGCTGCTGCACCATCTCAGCGTCTGCAAAATGCACCTGCTGCTTCCTCCACTAATCTGGGTGACTTCCAGGGCTGCTATTCAATGTTTATTTGGTGCTGTTCAGTCTCATTAAGACAAGCAGTTCTTAGACCTGACACTTTTCATGACAAAACCTGCAAAAGCAGTTCCTACTACATCTGCATCTCCCAAGAAAGTTTATTACATGGGTTTTTTTAAAACTTTTTTAGTCAACTGACTCATGACAATATCCACAAGCTCCTGCATTACCAATATTACAAAATCCTGATGCAAATCGAATGCCTCCAGTCTATGAATTTTCAAACGAGAGGAAAAATCCCATTTCTCACAAGCTGAGAAAACAGGTTAGCAGTAGCTAGTGTGCAAAAAGGAAGGCGCAGAACGCAAACTGCCAACCATAGCAGCAATGCCACGAGCATCTCAAACAAAGCCACCGGTCTAGCAAGGCACAGCTTTCAGGTGGTAACATGGGACCTTCCAGCTACTTAGATCACATCTGCCTATCAAACTATTTTTCTCCATAACTTCTTCCCTTGTGAGCAGAGCAGTTTTTGAAGCGAAGACAAACTATCACGCTGCCCTAAGTGCATGCTCACAGCCTCCGGAAGGCACCTGGGAGGCTTCAGACAGTGAAATTAGGATGGCCCTGGAGACAACAGGTAACAATTCTGTCAGCATAAGTGAAGTCCAAAATGCACAGCCAAATGGAAAGGGGAAACAATTAAGAAAAAACAAGATTTGGCCTTCCCTTTTTCTCAAATTCCTTTGAGAATTCCTTTTTCTACATTGTACAGAATGTAGAAAATGAGACATGAAACAGAGCTAAAGTTCCCTAAAGAAAATAAACACTAGGTAACTAATCCAAGCAGCCTGAAATAGCCTGGATATAAAAATGCGTAACAGCTAGTACTCTTACCTCTCCCCATCCCTTGGCAGAAGTCACTCGTCTCAGAGCAAGATTAATCGATCCACCTCCATTCCCATTCTGGGTGGAAAGGTTACCAGACAGTATTGCTGTGTCCGTGGCAGTCAATGGTGCCTGAAAAATGAATATATTGTTACCAATTACTCTCATCCCGATTCACACATTTAATGCATGTTCTGCAAGGACATAATCATGACTGCAGAGACTGTAAGCACAGAGATACAGGTAACACTCCAGTTGACTCCTTGTCATCCACTAAGCCCAGGTGTTTGAACCAGACATGGCCACACTTGCTCTAAATTTTGTAGTCAAAGATCAAGCATGGCAAAAAGTGACATAATTCTTACAGTACCAGACATTTTCGACACCTTTAATGTACTATCTTGAAGTCCTGACCCTGAGCTGCAATCCCTTCTAATCTCACTAGCAGACTAAATTTTTTCAACTCTCTGGAACAGAGGAAACACCCCCCCTTCTTCTTCTTACCCACATCCTCAAAACTGGGTGCCATTCATTTTCATACACTAAATACTCCTTATTCAGTGAGAACTAGATACCTGTTTTCAATCACGATTGAGCCTCCCTGCTAGCAGCACGGCAGGACCACTGTAGCCTACAAACCAGTCACACAAATGCATGCTGTACAGTTAACACGCAGTCCTGCTGGAACCGAGCTTCCTCTTCCCACCCACGCCGGTAATCACGTCCTTCCATAAATCAAGATGAGAACCCCCTGAGCAGAGCTTTGCACTGTAGTGCCTCATTAGCTCAGGCCCTGCTCCACACCAGCAGCTGCATCTGCCCTCCTTACCTCAATGGACTGGGATATGTGCATTTTGTTTATCTCAATTTGGGGAAAGCTGCTGCCAGGCACATCTTCATATTCTTCGTCGTAACGATCAAAGAGGTCAGTGGCATCTATTCCAACACTAATTGTTCCCTAAGGAATGACAAGTGAAACAAGTACTTAGCATTAACAAACATCCAACATATATAGGCCAAACGGCTAAACCAGTCTTGTATATGACTAATTTTTTTTGCAGCTTTTTCTTGTTCTGCAATGACCTTTTCCACTCTAAAATGCATTTCTTACACATTTAAGACAAACAAAAATGAATGATTACCTTATTCTAAATTAGCAATATAAATCATAAAATAAACTGGATAAAAGGCAGTTTTTTTTTTTTAACTTGTAATACTAGTAGGCAATTTTTCTATTGTGACGCATTACAGAAGTAGGTAGAACGCTTTTACACAGCAGGTTTCTTCTTCCCCCACAACTGACTCTGCTCTGTTGGTGTTTTAAAGTTGAAATATATTTTAGAAATTGATTTTCAATGGAACTTGGCCAGAAAGCCTCTAAATGCTTTCTTCTTATGAGTTATCTGAAACAACTTCGTTTTGAGCTGCATCATTCACTTGCAATTGAACTTGTTAGTCAAAAATCTTGTTTTCTTTTTCCTAGTTTATATCTTCTAATCAGAAGAAAAGCTTGACAAAAATAGACTTTTAGCAAGTGGTAAATATTTCCTTTCTCAGATCGCAGAAAAGCTTATTCCTACAAAAAATTAGGCCACAGCTAAATAGTCTGGCTACCTGCTGCTGTGCTCACTCAGACTAACTGCAAGAGTGGGTTTATTTAAAAATAAAATAAATAAATCTTTTATTTTTTAAGATCCTTGTCTGGGTCATACAACTTCAAGAGGCTTTGGAAACCTTCTCTATAGACCTATTAAACAGCATTCCAGCTCACATAAAATGTACCAGTTCCAATAAAAAAAACCCCAACTCTGTATACAAGCATAGAATGAAGTCTGAGCAATTTGTATAATGAAACTCAATAGCTGGGTAGATACAAAAACCACTCACACAGAGTCCAAGTATGGACGGAATAAATTCTTATTTCAATCTGAGTGAGCATTTTTCCTTGCTTAGTCCACTCTAATCAAATGTAGAACCATAAATATAGGAAGAATTGCAGAGTTTGACAGGACTCAAAACTTCTCTGGTTTGGCTTCCACCTATTTATTTGCTGTGGAGATTCCTGACCTCTTCTCAATGTTTATTTTCTGATTTCTTACACAGCAAAAATTGAATAAATATTTTAACACAGGAAGGTGCGATTATTTCTAGGAGAACTCTGGAACAGGGGCTGTGCCCCAACTGTTTACAAATTACTCTTGGCAGGCTGGTGAATTTCAAAGCAATTATGCTCATCGTTCTGTTTGTGGCAGCGCCAATGAAGAGCTCCTGCCCTTTATGCAGAAGACTGGTTTTCAGGAACCATCTGCAAAGTCACCTTCAAGGGATCTGCTCTCCAGACGCTACAGCTTCTTCAGTTTCAGCCCTCTCCTATGTTGTGCTGTTCCTTGAAATAAGGCCAAAATAAGAGTGAAGCAAGGCAAAACCGCCAACCGCCTAGGAAGCAGTGCAGCCCTGCACTGCTGCTCCAGCCCTCTGGAAAGACACGGAGTAGAATAGCCAAAGAGAAACAGAAAGTGCCAACTCCACTCAATAAAATTCCAGCAAATGCACTCCAGAGTGGCCAAACATGTCTAAATACAGGTGAGCATTTATTTTAACAAAAGAGAGAACTATTTCAATTTTTCCCTGATGCTTTTCAATTCAAGGAAGTGTAAAACCCAAGATCTTTCGTAACAGAGGCAGGATGGAAAGAAAGGTTTTCCATGTGGACCGCCACATTCAGCACAGAACCTTTGCCAGACTGCAACTTTAAATTCCAAGTTAAACATTTTTAAACAAGGGATATCATGCTGAGTAGTAAGCACGCTGAATTTGAAGGCAAAAAGACCGAAAATTGCATATTTTCAACTCAGACCGGAATATAAGCGGCAGCAAAGCTTTCTCAAGAATTTGCATGAAAAAAAAACCACTGAAAAACTTCTTACTGTAATATGTTTATTCGTACCGCAATCTTGTACCCTTTGTAAAGATGCACCAAGGTCCACACACATTCCTGAAATTCACTGCAACTCCTTTCTTTCAATCATACTCAAAATTTTATGATTTCCTTTTTCACACCTATGAATTTTAGAACAAATATCCCTCCCAATGAAAAAAGGAAAACACCTGAACCCATCCATGAAAATCCACAAAACCCAGTCAGAGGAAAGGAGTGTCTCCATTCCCTCCCCGGCGCCTCAGCAGATCTTCTATTTAGCTGCCTTTCGCTGAAGTGAGCTGTCTTTCGCTGAGTGGACTCCATGCAGACATTTCACCTCCCACCAAGCAGGTGAAGTCACCCTCAGAGGTCTATAGATCCTGGCAAGGAAACTGGCTCAGGCGCAAGCACAGGAAAAGCAGCAGATGGTAAAGTTAAAAATACTCCCAGAGAACGACAGCACCCCCTATGCCACCGGATAATAGAGAGGGGATCGCTGCTGCTTGCAACTCCCCATCAGCCACCTGCTCAGACCATTGTAAATGAAAAAGCCCTCCCCAAAGAAAGGACAGCAGGGAAAAAGCTGTAAAGCTCTGCTCAGAAGTCGGCGGTGCATGCACGCAACATGCTGCAAAGCGCACCAGCTCAGCAGGGCAGGAAGCTGGGGAGCGGCGCTACAGAACCATCAGAGTTGTTATCTGGTATCATCTTTTAAAATCACCTTTATTTGCCATCCTGTGAACATGAACAGACTTTACTAATGGAATTAAGAGGTGTGCCAGAGAAGAATATACTCCCTCCTCAATCCCTTTTTTCTTAGGGATTTACCTTCTGAAAGGTGACATACGGAAGCTGTGCAAAACTAAGCCTTGAGGGACCTGCATTTCTTAGATGTCGACCTTCTGCAGCAGGAAAATAATTGGATTTAATTTCTCCTAACAGGAAGCGGCTCTTCTCAAATCAAGTAATGAACTCTTCAACCCTTCTACACGTCTTTGAAAGCAAAAACAAAGCTCTAAAAGCAAATAATAGACTCAATTTGAAATTTGCCAAATTGCCTACATCTGGTTATTGCTCAACATTTCTGGTTAAAATGCTTTATTTTGCTGGAACTGTTTTATAGAACTGACAAAATGTTAGAAATTTTAAAATAACTTGCGTTCGTGTATGAAATGATCACAGCTGCGCTACCTAATTCCACAGGAACACTGCCTGGAGAGACATTTCTATAGGCTGCCAATCAGCAATAGCTGTAAACACCCAGATGGCTAATTTCATCACAGGACACAGAGGCTGAGGCTTACAATTCAGCTCCGCTTTTTACTACTCACAGCCATGGCAAGGCACCCAGATAAAATGTCAAATTCTGAAAGTCACAGAGAAGCATGAGGTGGAGATAACCATGCCCCTCTCTGAGAATATGCTTCTGACCCCAGTCACTCTCATCTCCAGCAGAGATAGTTTGACTTGCCCATTTTGTGGCATCCAGAAATCCCTTCCTGCCTGGAATAATTTTGGCAGCAGATATTCACATAACACCTTACGTTTATTTACCCTTCCAGTACAAACAAGTTCTTAGTATCTGTGCACTATCCACAACAGCCTGCTGATCTGTATTAGTCAATTTGCTTTGCTAAGACCAGCGCAGATCCAAAGTCTGTGCCAAGGGGAATATTTCAAAACATTACAGGTCTTCTCAGATGGACATTTTTCTGATACAGTCCTAAGCATTACTGTACTCACACTTCTGTCCACTCAGAAAACACTGTGATTTTAAACTGCTGACCATGAAAACACCAGCAACCTTCAAAACCAACAGTAATAGTAGTTAATCATCTGGTAGTTTGTTTCTCGGGTTACGCAAGTTACGCTGCAACACTTTAGAAGTCCCTGCTTGAACACAACGACACAAGAGACCTCCTCTTTCAAAACCACTGAAAGAGTACAGTCACCTGCGCTTCAGTGCTTCAGGATGCACAATCTGTGTTGACTGCAAGCCTCCAGTGAGAGCTCAGGGGATACCCAGTTTTCCACCAAGAATAGAAGCATTTATAAATAAAACAAAAATTGACATCTCATTACAGTTTATTTTTTCAAGATGGAGAAAGTTTGTCTACATAAATATCTGCACAGTTACTTGCGGGTAGACAGAGGAAAATTAAGGCTCCCCCACCATGGACCACTTCTATACTGCACAGAAGAAATATATTTCCAACACATTTCAAAAAATAGGTACAAAATACTTTCTGATAGTTTAAGCAAAAAAACCCCAAGGAAAATATAGGTACAGGTAAACTGAAGTATGAATACATTTGGTGAGTGTAGATGCAGCTCTTGGATAATGTTATTCACTGCATGAGAACCAAGATCTTCGTGATTCAGTAAGCTTTGAAACCTCGGTCAGTGACAATCCTGACAAAACCTGGGTTTGCCTAGCATACTTATCAAGCTAAAAGCCAGCAAAGCCATTAGCATTCTAAACTACCGGAGTATTCCAGTTGCAGCAGGTGATAGAGGAAGCAGCGGTTGATTGCCATTTCCACCTCTCCCTGCCATCCCAACGCTACCACGAGAACATCACCCTCAACACGGTATTCTTGATCATCTTTGAACAGTCAAGATTGAGCTGTAAGGTGGGTCATTTAGTGTCAGTTTATGGCTGCTTAAACAGACTGAAAGATGGGAACAGAATATTCTATGATTTTGAGCGCGATCAAGCTTTCCTAAAACAGGCATTAACTGTGAAACTGGCAAGACCCCAATCCTGTTCAGGTTGATTTTGCTCACCGTGCTGCAGCCGGAAGACTTCTGCAATCCAGCTGGTTTGGTAGCTGCCTCACATTTTTCATTGGTTTCAAAGCTGCGTTTGAATATCTCCCCACATTGTTGTGACACTACAGCAGTGTCGAAGGGAAAACCTGTCAGGTAACTGCAGGGAGTTTAATTTTCTTTGGAATACTTGGAAAGAAATCATAAACATTTCAGTGTTAGATCTGTTTTCTTGAAATTGCTGAAAGAGATACTTTGCCTCTACATGTTTCAACGAAAAAATGAAAAAGAACTTTCAATAGAGGATTGAGGAACTGTTCAAAGAATTAGCTGTTTTCCCT